TACCAACACTTACAGTGTTAAAACCCGGATGCGAAAAATGCCCGGATGCGAAAAAAAAATGATTTTGAGCAGGAACCCAGCTGGCTTTTGGCCTGATTCTTTTTTGTGGAATACCAACCAGGCCTATGAGTAATATAAGTCACAAAAAATTAGCATTTAGTCTGCTGAGCACACGCAAAAAATCAAATGATTGCCAAAAATGGCTAGATCCCAATAATGGTCCCCGAGATTCAAGTTGTCCAATGTTTTGATCCCTCTGGAAGTCTATCCCCGCTGAATAGCCTAGATGGTTATCTATTGGAACTCTCTTTGGGTATGTGAGGGCAATCAGGGAAGGAGAAAGCAAAGTGAGCGAGTAAAAGACCATTTCTGATCAGAATTTTCGCATCCGGGTCAAACCCCCAAAAACAACCACATAAGGGACGGGGCCATGCGACACAACAGGGCCCCAGAAAATTCTGAAAATATTGGTGCACGAAGTTCAGGGTATGAGCTTCCCCAACATTCAGTCTTATGACGAAACTCGCTCATATGCCTGCACAATATTAGGTTAACTTTATTTTTTTCGCATCCGGGTTTTGACACTGTATCTTGTTGTGTATTCTTGGACTTTGTTCTGCTGGCATTCTTATCCCGGAGTTCCTGCTTTGTTGAATTTCCTCTCTGCTGTCCATCCGCACTATTGTTTTATGTCCCTTGTTTCAGTCTTCTCTTTTATCTCGTTTTGCATTCAGGTGGATGCCAGAGTCGACACATAGTGGAGGCTCACAGCAGAGGGCCTTGTAGATGCAGTCGGCAGTGTCAGTATTGCCGAACTCCTCGAGGTTCTCCTTGAAGTGCTTGGTTCCGGCAACGGCCATGGAGGTAATCTGGTCCTGGGAAAGGCCGTGCTGGCCAGGGAATCCGGGGCTGCCATCACACTGCATGAGGCCAGCAGTTCCGTGGCCGTCAGCATTGGTAGTGGTCTGGACACCGATGTTGCCGGTGCTCTTCTGTGATGGGTTGTATCATGTCAGAGAAATATCCTCGTGGCCAGAAGGAAAAGACCTGGAGCTCAGGAGAAAGGGGGAGAGCCAGCTCACCTGCATGGTGATGGCAAAGATAACTTGCTCCTTTACACCGAGCTTGGCAACCTCGATCACGGCATTCCAGATGTGGCCGATGTCCTCGTCAGTGTCACCAGTGGCCGCCATTTCTGACTTATTGGCATTAAAGATGTCTTCGAACGACTTCCATTACGACATGGGAGGGAAGCTGGAGGAAGGGCTGTGGTACCAAGTCAAACCCATTATGAACCGCGGCCCGAGTATGGATGTGAACGGGTTTGTAGAGATGGTTATTGTTGCTGTTGTCATTTAGTCTCGCAAGCAGACTTTATAAACTTTTGTGAAGATAGTCACTCTGGAAAATCCGATGTTCCGGAGCGCCCGAAAACGTCTCTGAAACCCAAAGTTTCAGGAGCAGAGTAAGTGGTCCTGAAGCTGTTCCCAAAACGAACGGTTTCTGGAGCCCCGAAATAGGCTTCTCATTTCGGGAGCAGATTTGGGGGCCCAGAAACCACGAATTTCGATGACAGTTTCGGGAGTCGTCAAGAATCCAAATTTGGAAATTTGCTCAAAAATACCCTCCCAGGAATCCAGATCTGTATGCAAGCAGCCGTAATAATGGCCGCCTGGCAAAATGGCATGGCGTCTGACTATAACTTGCTTATGTAATTTCGTAATCAGGAGATTTCAGGTTCAACCTCTGAGGTGGTCATTGGTGTAAGACTATCTACTTTTTGACACTTCTCACTGCGGGCAAGTCCGTGGCCGGGGACTCATGGCGTTTGAATGGCGTGTGACTGACACTTGCCATGGCGTTAGCACGGCGTTGCACATGCGATCAAAATCGGGCCGGGATGACCGAAAAACTCACGACGACATATTTTGCAGACTGTATAACGGTAATGCTGCTCCCTACCATTGTCTCTGATATCACTGGTTCAATTGGGTGTCCCCAGGTATGTGCATAAGTACTTCTAATATGCACACAAATCAATGACAATGATTCAGTTTGAATTTGATGCTTACTGTGAGTATACACTGTTCCAGCCCCCTCCGCAAAGACTGCCATTCAATGGAATTTCAACTCACCTAAATTCGACATTCAATATCTAACTCCATTCAAGCACTTGCACAAAACTCCTTGCAGAAAAATCCAACCAATCAACGAAGTGTGTCAACTCGGCCTTGGTTGGATTCAAGCTTATGGTTGAACTTTTGTAGAATGTGGATGTGGCTTCATTTTCCAGGCTCAGTGTAGCTCGAATTGCCGCGACGCAGCAAGAAAATTTGTGCATGATCTAGTCACGTGCATAGCCCAAAAGTAAGTAAATTCCATTTGTTGTAGGCCCAGAATTTCTGCCCTATAAGTTACCAACTTTGTTGCATGCTCGGGAGTTTGTTCCGCAACCCCAAGCAAGAGAGAGATTTTTTTTTTTTGTGTGGCTTAAACCTTGTGAGCCAAACACCGGCCCGGTCTCGGCCAAAAGGTATCCTCGCCTGTGTATATCGGACATCCGTAAGAAAAACAACATAAAGAAGTTACCCAGCAAGGCTTACAGTCATTTGGGATATCATTACCAAGTTATCTGTGAAAACATTCAAATGTGCTGGATTAATATGTACAATTGACTGATAAGAAAGAACAAAGGGAACTGATGGTGTGTGCAACGCCGTGCCAACGCCATGGCAGGTGTCGGTCCCACGCCAGTCAAATGCCATGAATCCACGGCCATGGCATTTGCCCGCAGTGTCTACACTTATTCCTTTCAGCTTCTTGTCTGTCAAAGCTTCGATTCGACCCCCTGCGATGTTTTTTTTTTTTTTTTTGTGTTTGAAGGACACCCTCTTGATCCATGGTTTTGGACCTGAACCCCAGATCTTGTTTCAACAGAACCCGGGATTGGACTAAATGTACTCGGAACTCGAACTCGAACCCTTGTCCCACTAAGGTATGTGTTTCGCCCCCTCGGAGAACTAATAGTTAAATGCATCCAACTTCAAGAGCTCGGAGTCCCGCAGTCGGAGGTGAGTTCCATTTTTCCTATGACTGTTCACCGGTAGTTGAGGTCGTATTAGGAATCTCTGCATTCTCAACTTAGCCGCACATCAAGTGTCAAATCCCGCAGTTGAAACAAGTAGCCGAATGTGGACCTGGGACGGAATGGGCATGTGCACAGGCAGGAAGTACTCTTCGCCCCATGAGTACATTCAGGTTAAGTGGTTTTCAGGCAGGTTGAAAGAACTTCATTTGCTAAAGAGTTCATGGATTTATTTCAACCTGTCTGAAACTGACGTGGGAAGTTGATCTTGACCTCCTTAGGGAAAGAAGTTCTTTCAGCCCCTCTGAAAACGGTGTGGAAAGTTGATCTTTCACTGCTTGGGTAATCAATTCCTTTCAACCTGTCTAAAACTGACATGGGAAATTGATCTTTGGCTCTTTGCGGAATGAAGTTCTTTCAACGTGTCTGAAAACGCGGTGGAAATTTATTCTTTTTAACTGAGTGAAACCCGTGATTAAATTAAATCATTCTACTGCCCTTTCCGTCCACTTGAAAGAGCAGCTTTCCGACCATCTGAAATCACCATGGAAAGCTCACCTTTATACCTTGCATTTAACGGGTCTGGAAGTTTTCTATTTCAGGTGTGTGGGCTGGGCTAGGTTTGTCTGGCTGGCTGGCTGGCTCTGTGTCTGTCGTGTCTGTCATGTCTGTCTGTCTGCGTTGGCCTACGTCTTGCGTAATATCGTGCCCTGCTACACGCCTTTAGTTACTTCTGCTTACACATACGCTAACTGCGACCTTTTACCGTCCAATGCTCCACTTCTAGATGATGTGGCTGCTGCATCGGCGGTCAATCGGGAAACTGAAGGATGCCGTGTGAAGATGGTAGCTGTGAAAGATAAAACGAGAATGAATTGCCTCCACGAACAAGCACCGGCGCCGTGTGGAAACAAAAAACAAAAAAGAATTGTAGAATTCCACCGGTTACTGTCTGTTGTGCATTTGTTATCACACCTGTTGGAGGTCGATTTCGGGTTCAACAACAAGATAATATACGCGGCATAAATATGGACATAGTCAATTGATGAGTACGACATTTCCAATTGTTAGTCGCCGAGGACTGCATAGTTACTCTCCTCCCCATATGCGAACGCGCACCCAGGAATATTCCGGGCCCAGAATTGAGGCCTGCGTCGAAATATCACCTAGGCAATCCAGCAGTTCCTTAACGCGCTGGCTGTTCGCCGACCAAGCCGTCAGAGCTACCATACTGTCAGGTTTCATAATATAAGTTGTACGGAAGGAAATCAACTTCAGTCAAAACTATCTTGCAGGCTTGATGCCAATCAGCGGTACGCCAACGCCCGTTCATTCGAAACAGCCACCAAGTGCGCCACGCTTCTGCTGATGCGTACCTATTGTGCGCTGCCAGTGCCCATAGCACTCCCGACTGGTGTCTCGCGGACGAGCATGTTCGTCCCTGTGGCAGCGCATACATTACGGGTCCTCGCCGAATCTGCACCTAACTAGTCCCGTTCAATCCCATATCTCGTTTAGATGCCCGCTCCAGCATAATTCGTATGTCTTGGTCTCAAATATGTTGCACCCTTTGATATGCCCATAAATTGATACTTGTTCCCCTTCGTATGGTTATTCTGGTGTTGAATGAGACTGTGATTCAAAAAAACAAATGTACTCCGGATTCACTTCTGCGTTCACTGAGGTACTATCAGCGACTGCCTATCCGGCCACACTAGGTAACCGGCCACTTGCCTAATATAAGCCGGTGCACGGTATAATCCTTGAATTTGGTGGTTGTTGGTTGGATCATGACCTATGGGGACCTTGCATGTCAAATTTGGAGGCAAGAGAAGGCGGCAATCAAACGTTGCGGGAGTTTCGAACAAGATGCCGGGCGTGGGTAATGTTGCCACGACTCGGAAAGTCGAGTCTCTCCAAGTCAAGTCGGCCTAAGTCGATTTCGAATCGAGTCGAGTCGAGTAAGTCGACTTGAGTCGACTTTTCTTGAACAAATTTTCAGAAACTCATTCTAAGCACTCTGCAGGTTGAAAAAACGCAAAAGGGATTTTTTTGTTTTTGTTTTGACTGTCACGGCAATCTCATACAATGTCACCAAGCGTGGCTCTGTCACTCTGGTCACAAAATCAATCATGTCCCCAATTTGTCCCCAATCGCTTTTTTTTGATGAACAGTGCAACTAGGTTGTGACCGACTCGGAGTCGACTCAAGTCGACTTGAGTTGATAAAGCGACTCGACTCGACTCGGTCTAAATCGGCGACTCCAAGTCGACTTCGTCGGCTCAAGTCTGGAGTCGCGGCAACATTAGGCGTGGGAGCATCATTTCTTATCCCCGACCGGCCTTCTTGCTCGTCTTTTCCTTATTGCTCCCCCAATTCCTGGCCAATTCACAAGTGCGGGGTCCGTTCTCATCCAATGGGTCGGGGCAATGGCCCAGGGATGAATTATCCGTCAAAAACTCCCCGCTCGTCTGCTTGATGCTCCAAACAGACATTGACTCGATTTCGAGTGGCACAAACCGGCCACCTCTGTAACGAACCAACCATGTTTTCTGGGGGCCTGGGATTTGGCTCGGTCATTAAATATACCTCATAATTTATCCTACCACGCTGGTTGGATTTTTAAATGTCAGACTTCCCGTTCACGGCGGGATTACATCGAAAGCCACCCAATTTAATTGACTCATACAGATGGACCTTTTGGAGGGGTAGCTGGGATATCAGGGACCTAGTTTGCTAACAGGTACGTCCTACTACATCTGGTTGAGGCATATGGATCTCTATTTGGGCCCCAAATGCCCTCTGTCCTTTGCAGAGTACAGCATTTGCTCTGCACTCGATCCCGGCCATTCTCCTTGGCTAGCAACAGAAACAGTCATGGTCCCTATACATGTCATATTTACAGTTTGAGGGTATGTAGTAATGTATTTCGATCCAATGAATGATTTAGGATGCACTGGGATGCATAGTACGAGTCCCAACGAAGGATTTAGACGGGTGGCCGGTTAGGCCGTTTTTGCCGTTTTGGGCATCTGCCCGCAAAAGAATTCGGCATGCCATGAAATGTTCACGTAAATTCGCAAAAAAAAATGTCAACTCACTCGCAGGATGTATGCCTTCGATTGAGATTCTATACACCTGTATCTGTCGGACTATGTGCATGGGCCCGCGGCGATAAATGCTAAGGTGGCCGAGAAGGCAGTCTCTGATAGTAGCACCATGGCCCTCAACCCAGTCTCATGTAAAAAGTTCCTCAAATAAATTGGCTAACTACACAGAAATACGGCCAACTACGGACAACCACGTAGAGAGCCTCCTACTACAGAGCACTACGTAGAAGTCTCGAAACTGCGGCAAAATACAGGCAACTACGGCAAAAATCAGGATTTGCTGATGCTTCATATAATCAAGGGTAGGGTCAGGAAAGTCACCCTCACGAAGGAGGTCTGCATATCTATATCATTTACAATTCCTAGGGCTTTGCGTATCGGAATGTCTCACTCGCCAGCACCGAACCTGGAACAGGTGTTTGTTTTATATGACAATTGATAAAGCGGCATGCCCAGATAGAGGGCAACTTCCTGGCACTCTGGATCAAATCCTCTGCCCCGATGGAATTGTCGAAGTCCAGCGTAAACAGCATTGTCCCAGCGGTGCCCCATGAGGCGCATAC